TACCCTTTTTTTTCTTTATGAGGTGAACATGTAGTGATATGGGCGTCAAAGAGGGAGGAGGGAAGGGGGAGGGGGTGGTGAGGTCAATGGTGAATTATTTTTCCGGTTGTTGAAGCAAGAAATCCCTTTGTCGCATGCAACAAATAGGCACGGCAACTGACTGGAGATGTTCGCTCAGGCTACCGTACTCATGTTTCGGCTGAGGCGCTCAGACTCTAAGAACGATCCCATTCCCCGTCCTACCTACCATCTTGCCGAGAATTGGTTGCACGTCGAATCCTGCTGATTGGGCTGGCCGACGTCCGGCAAACTCGTCCAAGGCGTCTGCCCCAGCTAACGGAGGTCTCTGTTCAGGAGTTCCCAAGGTTTTGTTTTGCTTCTTTCTCTACTGGGGAATTACTTATGGGGTACTGCTTAATGACTGAGCACCTGCTACACGTAACACCTGATCGCGGGAATTGTCTTTAACGTATTTCCGATAAGTTCACTATTTCATGTGTAATGCATGTCTCCAACAAAAGTGTTAGAGTGTACACATTTGGCTTCATGTTAAGCAGTTGGCGACCTTCATCAAGGGATGTGTGGGTGTGAAAAACTGAGGCTACTAAAAGTTCAAGCTCGTTTTCGCTGGATTTTATGTCACCATCTCAAGATGCGGCGTCAAATTGTTGCAAATTCACCAGGGGAGTAATCACGTTACCTACCTATCTAACATAAAGAAACAAACAGTTCACACATCTAGGCACTTCCTTGTGACAAACGGACGACATGAAAGCAAAATGATGGACGGAAGACTAGGACGTATGATGTACTCTACGCAACACCAACTATATCGCCACTAATTCCAATGAAAGCACTCTATCAAGCATTAGGTAACGCTGTTGGTTCTTCAAAAACCACCAAACTTACCCTCTCTTTTGGCTGCTTTTCGCTCCTCTTCGGCAACCGATTTGGCCGCTCCAAGTAACGTCATGATGATACCTGTCTGTGAATTCACACCGACAGCCGTTACAAGCATCTGAAAATGGTAAACTTTATGTTCACAACAGCACAAAATACACAAAACGCACCTTTGCAGAACCTTCCATCACATGGGTTCCTGACAAGATTATCGGATCATGTTCGGGTGTTTTCCGAATCAGATCAGACTCTCCCGTCAGAGATGATTCGTCAATTTTAAGATCGTTCGATTGAATTAGTACACCGTCAGCAGGTAGCAAGTCACCTTAAAACCATTTTTTGCTGTTTCTGATATAAATAAGCACATATGAATGAGAACATTTGCAAATGCGCTTTCAAGGCTGCTTTAGACAAACATCTTACATCATAATACCTTTGCAAGCACAGTTCGTTTTACTTGTATTCACTGTTTTCCTTTCTTGGGATTCATGGCAGTTTTATACCAGTTTTTTTCACGCTCTCGAATTTTGATAGTGGTTTTATTCATACGCATCAAGTTCTAGTAGCTGTTTTTGCTGTTTATTTGGTTTTGGTTTTGCGTTATCGATTTTTTTCTTACTTACACCACACAGGATTACCTGTGTAATAAACAATTACAAAAAAGGTGGCTATATTGGATGTGTGTCTTTGTGCCCTCTATAGAAATTCAGACCTCTTGCCTTCCCAATCAGTAGAGCTTCCTTTCGGATTTTTTACAGTCTGCTTCTTGATTTCAAAGCGATGTGTAGTTTAACAAACCGAGCTCCGACGACGCGCGTAAATAAGCTAGTGTATCTAGCTAGTTGACTCAACATACGTTAACAAGCCCCTCCTACCTAGGGGAACTTCTTATCTTGGTGGGCTCAACGGGCCCAACGTTTGCCAACTCAAACAACTCAAAGCCGTCCATGATCTTCAGGAGGACTTGACGACTTTTTGCGACAAATAGCCAATTTCGCGCCTGCAACATTAGCCTGGGGACAATTCGGATCTGTTGAGCGACTCCCTTTAAAACGTCCCAGTTACTTAAATTCACGAGTTATGTATGTGAACGCTAAGAGTGTAGTTCAAGACAACCGAGGCACGGCATCGCGCTCAAGCCAGCACTCCAAGCTAGTTGACATGACACAACACTTTGGCGCCAGATCAAATATGTCATGGCAGCTTCTACTGACATAAGGCTATCGGATAAACGATACTCTTTGGGCGTGCTGAACTACACCCTGAACCCAAGCATGGTACTCCTATCGTAGGCAGCCCATCTAAATGGGTTCGTTGATTTTCCAAAATCAGAACATTCATAGGGGCACAGGGAGCGGAACGGGGAGGGGGAAGATGAAGCGGAAATGATGCATCTACCATTTATCTGCTGATGCAGTTGTGAATGAAATTCGAAGGCATGGCGCATCTTTGAAAGCGCATTCATCAGCGCTGTATGCTTTGAGCTCTTACTTTGAATACCCGAACAACGGCTTTTTGAAGCGCTACAAGAGAAAATTGTAA